TTTTTCTTTTTCTTTTTCTTTTTCTTTTTCTTTTTCTTTTTCTTTTTCTTTTTCTTTTTCTTTTTCTTTTTCTTTTTCTTTTTCTTTCCTTTTTTTTAATTAGAGATACAACATTATGCACTGAAATGTTCTCCCTAAAATTACTGCCTCTACAATCAGTGACATCTAAATCCCAGTCCAAAATAGCTGTAGTAACTGTATGCCTGAAAATATGATCTTTCCTATTTAGTGAGCAATCTAGATGCTATTACTGTAGTAAAGCAGAGTACAGCTGAAGGTAAAATCATCTTGGGTAGTAGAACACAAAACTTTTGTTAATGTCAGTTAACCTTAATGAAACTAAGCAGAATTTTCCTGGCAGAATTCCCTAGATTTGAAAAGTCAAAAAAGAGGAAGCAGTCAGTCAAGGCTATGGTAGGCTAAAAAGTGGAAAAAAATATAAAGAAATACAAATTTACCAATAAAATATAGAGACAACAATCCACAGAAAAATGCCATGGCAATGGAATGTTATTATATATTATCCTGATTTTGGTCTCATATTTTATGTATGGGACATAAAGAATAATTTCACATGAAAACAAAAATCAGGCACATACATATTAATATACATATATATGTACAAATTATTGGCAAAAATTTTGAAAGACTTTAAAAATTCTTTCAAATGAATAATCTTAACTTTGTTACTGAAACTATTGCTGTATTGGGTGAAGCATTTATCCAGGGCTTCCCATTTATTCAACTTCAGTTAAAATACAAAAATTATAAATCCAATTTATTGCCATGGGTTTGAATGTAATGAAAAATTTGGGAGACATGTTGAGTCTTTAATCCTCAAGTGTTACATTTGGTGGAAGAAAAAGACAGAGGAGCTTCAGCCAGAGCAGTTTCCAGAGTAACACTGAGTTCTCAAAATGCTTTGGAAGAGAGAGAACCTGTAATAACAGCATTACTAGATAATAACAATTTGTAGCTGAAAGACAGTGTGCAAGAAGAGTAGCATTTAAAGGAATCATCATATGCAAAATTAATCTTAATTTGTCAATGCTAAAAACCACTTGCTTTCATGCAGGTAAAAGCTAAAAATATTTGGAAAAGTCAATAAAGACTCAAATGATCTCTTAGAAAAACCATATCAAGCTAAGACATTACTAAAACCTAAAGCCAGGTATTTAACACCACTATATTTTGTAAAATTAAACATCGCTTAGAAAACAAAATTTTCACAAGGAATGAAATGTTTAATCAAGATAGAATATTTAACAGTTTTTTGATGCTCAGTGAAGTTATTTAACCCTGAAGTGTTATCTACATTTCAGTGAAAATCTTTAGAATCAGGGTTTCTTTCATTTTTTTTTAATCAAAGTACAACATAGCTTGCAATATTTCATCTAAAAACCTCTATGAATTTATGTGTTCTGTTATTCACTTCTCCTAAAATGGAAGGCAGGGTTAACTGGGCACTGCTTAACACCTGGCAGATCTCAGCCCAGAGGAGGTTATACTTCAGAACAGGCTTAAAAGTAGAACGATGATTTCTGCAACGTTCATTTTTAAAACTGTGTTTTTAAGAAGTCTCATGAGAATATTCATATAATAGTGGGTTTCCTTTACAGGGACCTAGTTGGGTACCTTACATGGGCACTGAATTGCTCAGATAGCTTGGCAATACGCACCACCAGTATTTGCAGTCATTCAGAACATGTTGATTAATCACATGCCAAATTTTCAAGCAAAAACACGTTGATTTAATTCCAAACACACTTATGGTATTTAATTTGCATGTGCATTCCGTCTACATTGATAACTGCCCCACATTTGCATAGTCCTTCATCTTGAAGAGCCTTGAAGCAATTTATAACTCCAGAACAACTTGTTCTAAAGGGAGCCATAGAAACAGATCTCTGCATTTTAACATGCAGTCAAGGAGGATGTCAGCCAGCTGCAGAATTTTGGTTTTCATCTCTGAGACTCTGAAGAACCCTACATGCTAGATGTAATGGCCACACATGGGGAGGGCATAATGAGAACCCACATTCCTTTCCTACACTATTTGCAGGGAATTCATAGCAACTCCAGCTGCCTGGGACTCCAGATGCATCCCTGATCTGAGCTTTACTGTATGTTTCTTTTCCTCTTCCACTTAGACCTGCTTTTGCACTTGTGCTGTAAACTAGAAAAGCAAACTAGACCATAGAGTCTTCTTCAAACTGCCACTAGTGTGGTGCAGTGCATCCACCAACTGCACTCCTCTCCACACAGAGAGCTGGGTCCACTTATGAAGAGATCAGACCATTTCCAGTCTCTTATTCTTCTTGGGAAGAAACCTAGAGATATGAAAAGCAGGGCAAGCAGCTTTAAGTAGCTCCTTCACAGATTCCCTTCTTATATACCAGTTCAGGTATATAAAAAAAAATTATGTTTTCAGTTTTCCAGATCAATGACTGTGACCCTTTAAAAACAACCCATGGTGTCTATATGGTTTTTAAAAAGTTTTCAGACTAAACAGTGTACAGTAGAGTCCTATGGGCTCTGTAAAACCTCATTTTGCACATGGCTGGGTTCACAGGGGCTTTTGCATTCCCTTTGGTTTTTCCTCCTCTGGGAAGTACAATAGGATGCAAAATGCTAGCATCATATAAGTTCGTGAAGTATTTTAGAAGAAAAATATATCACCTTTTCTTGCTGGGATCCCAGGATAATGCCCCTTTAATAGGTGTTTTATGCAGATTTCTGAATAGCTGCATTTCTGTGTCTGACACAGACCATTTCAAATCCTATTCTTTTAAATTTAACTTTCAAAGACAGTTGAAAGTTCAGCTCAGTTCAGTTGTAAACAAGCAATCCATCATTTTTTCATGTAACTAAAACAAACCAATGCTCACTGACCCAGTGTTCTTTAATCAAAATCACTTTTTCTCTCTGAAGGTGGGTTGTCTTTTTTGTGTTTATTACATGCAGTTGAAAGACACTCTTTATTTAAAACCCTTTTTCATCTGAACACTTCAGAGAAGTTGAATTCTGGTATCTTGTTTGTGGCTGACATTTTCTGGTGTGGTACTGTCCACTGAAGGAGACCTCCTAAAAAAAATTAAATTTTATATATATATAAAAACATATACACAATCATAAACTTACATACAGGAAAACTACTTCTGTGACATGTGGGAAAACATAGATTCACAAGGAAGCAGAAATATAAGCAAAGACTGACACTACCACAATTAAATTTGCTTGTCTCAATCTTTGCTGCTGCTTAACAGTTAAAGTACTGTTGGAGTACAATGATAACTACAGTATTTTGAAAGGAAAGACAACAAGATATATCGCTGATAAATAAGCAGGGAGTAATTTCCACCTAGTTTCTCTCCTGTAAGTTTGGAGTGACTCCCTTAACATGACTAGAGGCTTACAAAATATCAAACTGGAATGTGACTTAGAACCTGGTATTTTTAGCCCTTTTGATAAGATCCTAAGAATAATATCTACTTTGTTTATGCCAGAGAATGCTTCCAATTCTACAGATCTTGGTTTTCTTTTCCTTTCTTACCTGACCAATGACTATCACCTCATAAAACCCCCATATCTTTCTCAATTTGTGTTCCCAGCACTGGATGGATCATGCTACAGACATTTGCATGCCCGGGAGACTTGACAGCTAGAGATCATACCAGTGTTTCCTCAGCAACAGGAGTGCCACTGTTCTCTGGGTGCTTTCTTTAGGGTAGATTTGGCAGGTCAAGATGAGTCTCAGAAAACTGTAAATGGGAGAAGTAAACACAGTAGACAGCAGCCAGCTGCAGAAAAAAAGGGTAATTCCTCCAAGAATTCTCCTTTATTTCCCTTTCTTTTTTATCTCTGTTGGATTTTTTACCTTCAATTGCATGTAATCATAGTTTGCATATTGATTTTTCTCTTGCATACACTCCTTACAGGTGAAGTTTTGGGTTTAGAGGGAGAAGACTAAAACATTTGACTTTATTAGCTGAATATATAAAGCCTGATCAGAAATCCACTGACAACAAAAGGAAAATTCCCACTGACTTTAGCCAGCTCTGGAAAGGCCAAAAGTATGAGCTTTTGGACAGTCAGTTCACATTTGCCATCACACCCAGGATCATATACTCACTCCCACATGGCTTTGTTAGAATTGTCTGTGTAAAATAGAATTCAACATGGGATGTCACTTCAACAGAGCAAAATAGAGGACATTAAAATACCCTCAGTTATCCTCTAGTAAAAAAAGTCCCTGTGTGAGGCCCCTCATGTTTCCGACTGAAGAAATGAGGTATTGCGTGCTGAGTTTGGCTGGAACAGAGCACGTGCAATCTCTTTCAGAGTTGTTCTTCTAAGTGTTACTGACATGAACTCTAAGAATCCAAAAAACCTGATTATCAATAGGCTGTATTTTACATTTAAGGTAGTTTTTAATTCTCCACAAAGTGCTTTTTCTATAAACATTGCCATAGACAATGCCATAGCAATTCAGTTTATCCAGAAGAAAAGCAAGAGTCCGCCACAAAAAGAAACAAAACCAAGGAAATAATATGGGACATGAACAGGCCATTGCCTTCCATATATGTGGATAACCTTCCACGAAAATTACTGGTATTTGAGTAGAGAAGCTTGGCTTTTTTAGCTTCATCTCACAAATAGACTGTGCAACTCTTTACAAAGATGGAACTGATCATGAGAACAAATGAATTTCATTATATTTGAGTCATCCAAACTCTAATTGTAAGCTCATTACCACTGTTACCTGCAGGAAGTTCTCTCTTGCACCCTTCTCTAAATAAAGGAAACTCTATGTATGGAAAAAAAAGCAACTGGACGGGGGGCAGTAAGGAGACCAGCAAAATACTCTTTTCCCTGGCAAGCTGGCAAATCTGCTAACACCTGCTGCACCCAAGAATGAGACAGTTTAAAGTCTGTTCCCCCTTTAGATCTCTGTTTTCCCCTCCTCTTTCACTGCTTATACTGCAGGTTCCAGGTGTTTGCTAGCTTTATCTGTTTGAAGACAGCTTGAAAATTCAAACTATTTTTTTCTTATTTTCAAACATCTTAGTTGGTGGGAGCCTTCATCCTTCCAGTGACAAGATACACCTGCAAAGCAGGGAAACAAGTCACTCACTGAACAGCCACACTTGGTCATATGCAGAAACAAAAACTCAATTATGTGTTCTCTATACAAGCATTTTTAATTTTATGTAATTTGTTTTTATGTACATTGGATAGTGCTGTAGGTAGCAAACAGCCATTTTGGATGTAGGGAAAAGATAATGTGAAAAATTATTGGAAAGGATTGTAAAGGGATAAGTGAGGGAAAAGGGACAAGGGCAAGAGACCAGAGACAGCCTTGAAGAAGAAAGGTGACGCCCAGGAGAGGTGAGGTAAGGCTCTACATGAAGCTGACTACTTCATTAAAAGGAGCTGGAGAAATGCCATGGCATTCCAGACCAAGACATTTGTCTTGAGTACCCCTTGCTTATGAAGGTTTTCTTTTTTTTTTCTTTACTCCTGCCTCCAATTGCATACTTTCTTTAAACAAAAAGTGGGCATATAAGGCTAATTTTCACACTGCTCTGCAGCTTTCTCTAAAGGAAGGATTCATCTAAGAAGTGGAATCTTATGTGCACGCACGAATACAAATATGTCTGCTCTATCCAGATAGAAAGGAGTAATTTCAATTTCTAGCTTTACATACCCCAACCTCATCTCTGTATCCTGTGCCTGTGTTCTGACATTTCCGAAGTTACTTTATTTAGGTTTCTATCAGAGACATCGTGAAATGCAGGACACTCCATAGGTAAAATCAAGATAAAACTTATTTTCTCTCTCCTAAGGGCAGCTTGCTCAGGTGGTGCATTTTGTTTACGCACACCCTACTTCACAACACACAAGAAATGCTGCTCAGCTAAGCTGATTGAATATTAACTGGCCTTCTCTTCATCTCTCCCTCCTCCCTCTTCTTCCACGTCCTCCTCTTTTTTTCCCTTCTCCCTCCACTTGTGCGCTTACCATAAGAAAGAAAAAAAAAAGACAGGAAAAAAACAGAAAAAAGTGAAAAGGTGCTTTTGGGATTCCTTAAGTCTGTGTTGACAGGACTGCTTGTTTGTGGTGCAGGTGTGGTGTGCAGGAGACCTCCTCCGTGTTGTCACCACAGCAACCTGCTTGTCTAATTTGCTGAATATAAAAGAAATAAACAGAGAAAAGCCATCCACCCCCTTCTTTACCATCCATGAGCCCAACAGAAGGATATCGTTTCCAAGCATTCCTCATAATTCCCCAGCCATTGCCCAGGCAACAGTCACGAGTAGCTGGCAGGCCCTGTGGAGAGAAAGCAGTCCCTGTCTGGAATTCATTCCACCACCAGCACTAAACATTTCCCTCCCCCACCTCATGATACTCCATTATTTCCCCTACACAAATGTTGCATACACGTGCATACACACACATACTTGCACATGCAGAGCTCAGACCCCTGCGTGTCGCTCATACCTTCCCCTCTTTGTAGAAGGTCAGACCAGGAGCACATGCATTTCATCACCCTTGACTTCGTGTGACCTCCTGTTTCCAGAATACACACCAGGAGAAGCCAACAGAATATTTCAAAGCTGTCATTGCCTGAATATTTATTCTAAAATGACCCCATGTCCCTTCTACTGTGTCTATTTTAATGATTCACTGTTGGCAATAACAAGGCAAATGTTAGATCTAACTTTGTAAAATTCAGTGTCCCATAGGAAAAAAATCTAAGTTTTACATTACATGGTATTGTTGAGCTCATATGGCTCAGCAGCCAGATACTATAGTGATAGATACTTCAGAAATGCCAGCTGGGAGCTCAGCATAAGCATTTGGGAGAGGTTATAAAAAGAAGGGGATGGAAACCTTAAAGGTATTTAAATCTCTAGTCACCTTCCAGAAAGGCTGTGCAGCTAGAAGTGTGTTCGTCTAGAGAAAGGATTGGCGAGAGAATTCTCCTTATCAAAGCTCGTGGTTTAAAAAGCAGTCCCTCACAGTTTCAGTTATGACAGCTGTTTCTGGGATATGAAGAGGTTTTTCAGAGCTGTGGGCTCTCTATCCCCTGTATCCAGCAGTGAAAGCTCTCATTTGTCTTCCCACCATCATGTTGATGCAGCTGGGTTTGACAATGCTTACCTCAGCACTTTTTTTTTTTTTTGTTAAAAGACAGAAGGCTTACTTGTGATCCCAGCCTTCTCCTATCATATGACACTCAGCTAGTGGTTTTGGTGACTTATTTACTGGCACTAACCCAGTAAAAACAAAAATGAACATTCACAACTAATAAATCTTTGAGCCCAGATAGCTTCAGCTACATTAGTAGGATTACATCAAACTGTCCAGACTGATACCAGTGCTCCCTGGGAATCTGAAATCTAGCAAGTACAGCAGGGGTGTCTATTTCATCCTTCATTCACTTGGGCTGGACTTTGATAATGTAGTGTACAGGGCAGCTAGGAGCCCAGTGCTAGAATGGGGAATGCATTAAAAAATAAGCTATCTTCTCTCTTGCTTGTTGGATTTATTTGGACACTTCTAGTATAAACTAAATATTATAATAGTATAAACAGCCTGCGCAGTGCAATAGCACTGACTCTGCCAGAAGAACTGGGGAGACTGGAAGAGAATTTCCATCTTTCTTAGCTGCAGTGAGGCACACCATTTACTGCAGACAAAAGGTCAAAAAAGTTTAGCTAATGCAAATCTGTGCTGTGTACTACTGCATACAGGCTGAGATCAGGCCTCTCTGTAACTTTATAGGAAGTAAAAGCATTCCTTCAGTGTGCTGATGATAACATTGTTTAGTATTGTGTTCCTCTTTCTGATCACTGTAACTTCCTTACAGATCTAAGGTATAATATTCCCATCAGTGACAGGGCTCTGCTCTCTAACCCTTTGACACTGCTCACTGTAAAATCTTTCCACATTGCATCTGAGGAGGGACAGTGCTGAGCAACTGTGCTTACACCAAAGACTATTCCTATTGCAGGCATAATTGTATGACAGTGGACTGAACAGTTCAGAATTTGGTAGTCTTGTATGTAGGACTCCACCAGGCAAGCCTTGTTGTAAGACAAGGAGCATATTGCATTTCATAAGAAAGTAACTACCTAAAATGCATCAAGCAGCTCTACAGCAGGGTTTACAACTTCTTTCTTCTTGTGACAAAAAATAACTAAGATTGCTCCAAATACCATTTAAGTACTGGCATGAAAGCAACCTGTCCTCTGTGTTTCAAAAAGACCCAGTGCTGCACAGAGGAACTCTTCCTAACAGTCTTAACATGTACCTAGCAATACAAAGTCTGAACACTGGTGTTGTTACCACAGAAAGGAAAACATATGCCTAACAAAATGGTTGAGAGAAGAAATGAGAGTGACGTTTGGTGCTTAACTGTGTCTTATAGAAAGCTGTGAGGTAAGTATGTAGAAGAGATTTCATTGAAGGGGAAAGTACTGGAAGCACTCTAGTTCTGATATATGTTCTTAATGAAAAATGCTTGATAAACCAGGCATTCTGCCACCCTATGACATCCACTTACCAGAGCAAAACGTGAAAGAGTTAAGAAGAGAGAAAGTATCATGGAAAGAAAGATGGTTCTGCTGTTAAGGAGAACTCCTGACAGTCAGGAGTCAGCAATCCAATGCCAACAACTGCCACAGGTTGCCTACATGACTCTTGTCACACCAAATCGCTTAATCTTTCATTGACTCCATTTCCCATCTGCAAATAGGAACAATTCTTTGTCAGACGTTATTTATTTTCTCTTTGATTTAGACCATAAATTTAGTCTTTTGTTTATTTAAATGTCAAGACAATGATTCATGCATAAGTGTCTACAGCAGTGCATTACAGATTAGAATTCTAATTTCCTATTGGATATTTACAGAGGACACATATTCAAAATACAAAATTAAGAAATCTGTGCAGCAGAAAATAAATACTGTCCTGTAATTAAAGATACAGTGTGTTGAGAAAGACAGTTTTCTTCCGTATGGCACAGTTAAAATCCTAACAACTTGTGTGGTTTCTGGGAATTTGAAGAATTGGAGTAAAGGTATGAATTAAGTTACTGCAAAAGCAGAACTTCAACAATCTCAAACAAACCCGTAGTAAATGATTTAGAATTATTTCTTAAGTAAGCCTTTTCTTAAACTTCTTGAACTTACTTTCCTTTGTTGTTTTAATTTCACTCAACATTTCATCTGTCTTTGGCAATCAGCTTCCTGTAGGTAAATCAGAAGTTTGTTTTCTTTGAAGCAAAGGAAAAGTACTGATGTTTTAATAATCAAAGGAATAGAAAGATATGTGTTCATCTCTGGATATGAGCTGTGTACAGGATGTCACCAACATGCCACTACACTCCTTAGGTGCTCAAAACAGTATGCTCTTCAATGGAGAGGTGTTTTCAGTTTGGCAAGCACAGCCGCTTTAGAGAAACAGTACGGATGTCCAATGCTAGAGAATGTCCTGCTAAAAGAATTGGAGAAAAAGCTAACCCTAAGTTCTCTTTAACATTTACTGTGTAAATGTCAACATATTTGCTGACCACTGCAGATGTCTCTGTCTATCTGGAAAAAAAAAAAAAAAGAGGGTCTCATACAATCAGTATCCATCTCTGTTGTACAAGTATCAATTTATATCTTTATTTTTCTGGGTATGGCATGATTACACTGCCGTCACAAAGAAGAGACCTGATTCTACCTGTACACTCCTTTATTATTCATGACAGGAAAGAGCACAAATTCAAAATCCTGCTTGCTTTTTATGAGATAAAAAAAATTAAGATTTCTATTATACTGACAGTACTCCATCCAGAAAACCAGAAAATGTTGTGTTCTTCTTTCATCCTGGATTCACTTGTTTTCCATTACATTAAATTAGATGTCTGTATAGATTAATGTGGAGCCAGGGAATAAATCTGTTAACGAGTTAAGCAAAAAGTCCGTAGGCTCTAAGGTCAGGAGGAGTCACTGTGTTCATCCAGGCTGACCTCCAGCCCAAACACACACCACTAGACTTCCCTAGCAGTCTTTGATTAATTGCAACAGCTCATGTGCTTAGGCTGAGGACAGATGATTATACAGAACAGTAACTTCTCCCTAGAATACACATCTTCACAATTTTTATTTAACTGTTATTAAATTTTATTTAATGACAATTTTATTTTTATTTAGGGCTGCAATACCAGCGCTAACTGGTACATCAAATATATATATTTATTTATCCAAGGGAAGGATAGAAGCTTACAGTGCACCGGCATTGAATATAGCCACAATAACTCTCACAAAGCATATCTGCCTTTCAAAATTTCTTCACAAGTGAACCTTCAGTTTTATGAATGTTTTGTTCCCCTGTTTAACACTCTCTCCTGCTGGGGCATAGTCCCCTTGACTCTTTGTCTCTTCTCAATGTTTTTACTTAAAGATTTAGTTGAGAACCTGGATGTGATCTTTCCTAGGTAAATATAGGAACTTATCAAGAGAGGCTTCACTCAAGTCCAAATTCAACGATATACATCAGAGGTGCAACTGAATCCTGTAAACTTGTTCTTCTATAATACCTTTCCCAGGCTTAATCAGACCAGAAAGAAACTGCTTTATGGTGAACTTCAGAGGTAATTCCCTGCACTTGGAAAAATATTTACAATATCCCCAGTCAGTAGAACTTAAGTGATACAAACAAAATAGTAGCATATTAAACTTTTCTGGTCTTTCTCTACCTACATTATGCTAGGAAGAAATGTGATTTAGATTCAGGTGTACTAAAACCATCAGTCATTGAATTGCTGCACCTGAATAAGTCACTGCACCTAAATAAACACTGACAGTGTACTCAGTTGAGAACTGTAATTCTGCACCTGCAGTCATTGGGGGTCAATGAAATGTCTGCGTTGCCTGAAGCTTTGTTTTCTGTCAATGATAGGCAGACAGTTCTGGGTTTCTATCCTTAAGTGCTTATTCAGCAAAAACATAGGTACAAACAGCAAGAGAAACATTTAGAGAGATTCAAAAAATGAAAAATATTACCAGAATTAAACAAAACAAAACGAAAACAAACAAAAAAACCAACCAAGCAAAAAAGTCCAAAAACCCCCAAACGAACCCGTTGCTTCATATATAAAAACTCCCAAGCAATTTCTTAACAAAACATATTTCTATACTTAAGGGGAGAAGTCAGGATAATAAATACATATTAATGCATGGCTAGTAACTGTAAATGCACAAATACTGACATAGGTAGTTTCCCAAAAGCAAAATCATTCTCCCATGTGCAGAGTACAAACAGTTTTTAAACAATTTGCTAAAGAAAAAGTAGAAATCTCTTTCTCATGTCAAATAAATAGAATATATCAAGAACTCAATGCTAAGGTTTATTTTCCATATTATTTTGTGCTGTTAAGTCTACAGAGATGGGTTGGCCCAATTGTAGAGATAAAAACCTTTAGCTAATAGCTAAGAAATATAGAAGAGCTTCCTAACATCTGTTCCATAACAATCCTCTCTTAAGATGTACCTGCATTACATTTCTCAGTTACCTTTGTCTGTGGGATACAGAGCATATTTGGAGTTAAGGAATGATTCAGACTTAAGGGGACTCATTTAAAGTTCTTAGTCCAGTGTCACAGAACTCCTGTGCAGTCTTGGATACTTTTCTTTATCTCTCTGAATCCCACTTGTCTAGTTGTAGCAGAGGGGAATAATAGACTTGGTCTCTCACCCCGACTCTATCTTTTTTTAGGTAGATGATAGAGCTATCAGGAAATTATTTCACTGTTTATATGACTAATAAAATAGGGTCCTGATCTTATTCAGGGCTTCCATACAATAGAGCAGTTCATGTAATTATCAGTAGCATTGCTATTACTAGTATTGACTACATGGTAGATCAGTTGGACACCACTGAGCCATTACTTTGCCCATGGAGACAAGTGCTTCTTCTCCCCACAACAATCTCTCTGACTTTATTAGAGCAGGTTGTAAGGTCACTTCACCCTGTCCATATAATTGAGTTATCAAAGATGAACATGAGTCAAAGGCTGGCAAATCTGTGAAGCCTGTTTGACACTTGCCAAGAAAGACAGCAAAAAGCATTGTAGGCAATCCCTAAAAGGCTTCTTAAGTCTTTTAACAGACCATGCAGATTTATATTGAGCTATACTTCCTCTTGAAAGCTGCATTAAATAATTAACAAAATGTTACCCCACATTTTACCATTTATTTTGCTTACCAGTCTCTCCAAAGGAGAGGAAATGGACTGCAGATCTTGGAAGTTCTGCTTTTGAACTTGATCCTTGAGAGTCAGTGTGGATTTTTCACAGGAGCAGATCAACAGTACTGAAAAAAAAAATTGCTAGACTAACAAGATGGTACAGTTAGCATTCCATTCAACCTCCAGTCTGAAAATAGCTGTAGGGCAAATCACTATATGGATGATTGACACCATATGGTAGAGTGGGCACTGGTCCTGAGGTATATCTCTACCAGCTCAGCAGAAAGGTTGGACTTTGGATCTACCTCTCAAATTATTTGCAAGCTAGAGAGCATAGTAGCAACTGGTTTTAGGTCTAAACAATCACTATCTGTCTCAGGAGACAGCGGAGAAAACTGGGAGAAGGATGCTGAAATCTTACTTCATCAAGGCAAAAGGAAATCTTTCTTAAACAAAAATCTGCAATAGTTTATGCAAGAATTGTAACAGTATAGATTGTGTACTGGCACTAGCAAACTGCCATAGTCCCAAGGTTAGCCAGTGATTAGGGATGAAACATAAATATAAGAGTACAAGCTCTTACACAAAAAACCTTCACCTTTTTTCCATTAAATGTAAAGACATTATTCTTTGTTGTTCATCCTTCTGTCACTAAAAACACTCACTAAGGCACTCTAAATCTGTCACTTTTCACTCTTTGCCAAAAGAAGTCATGAAAAGACCCCTGTGCAGCCATTTTCTCCAGCATTAGAATACAACTACTAAATATTGAATTATACCTCTAATGCATCAGGTCAAGGCACATCCTTACAGATTTTTATCATTAGTGATTTCTGACCACCATCCCACGTAGCAATTATTTGAACAAAGCTGACATAATCAAGATGTTTTTCTGAAGTTAAACATTCTAGAATTATTGGTATCACTGACTGGTCAATTTTCTCTATGTCTTTTCAGCAATGAAAATGCAAAACATCTTAAAAGCTAAATCATTCTCCTTTATGCCTCTTATTGCATGCAGTAATTTAAAAGACAGGCTAGTACGGCTGCAAAAGTAACGTGTAGCTCTAATTTAACCAGTTCACAATTACCATAGACCAGTGCCATACATTGCCTATCTATTGAGATATCTGCAGAAATAGGCATTTCTGCCTTCTCCAGCCACCAATGTGCTGAAAATATAAGGCAATACAGGTACTGAGAGATTGTATTGAGAAATAGAATTTAATTTCTGGATCACTGGGGAGTGACGAAACTTTAATTTCCATGAGGTTTTATTAAATTTTTTTAGTCGGTGATAATTTCTTGCTGAGTGGACTACATATACCTGCCTGTGCTTTTTGACTGAGTTTGCCCTGTTTAAAACTAAATATGAAATCAGGATGTCTCAAAGCTTCCGCTGTGCTTCACCTTCCCATGCTATTGTGTACTAATGAGGCAAATATATAGGGCCACAGACTCACTTTGTTGACAAAGCTTGTGGCCAGCCTGGGCCCTGAAAGTGCAGTCACACCAAAGAATTGAGTTGCTCAGTCTTCCAGGAAAAAGTCACATCCCTGGTCAGAAGTCTTTCAAATGTAAATGTCACCCTAAAACATCAGCAGAATGTAGAAAGTGTAGCTTACCTTGCTTTCAACAGCTGCATTTTGGAATCCTTGTAACATCTTGTCCATTAATAAGAGGAAACAAGAAAAGTTCTTTATTTCTACTCACACATTATCTCTTCCACTCCAATAAAATGTCTTTTGATTAAACAAAATAAGTTAAGACATGCAATCTGTAACTTGTCTCAAATTCTCAAAGTGTATATTCAGCTAGTCTTCATCAAAAATAAACAGGGATATACACATATAAACCCTCATTTAGCTAGCAATTGCAATCATTTGAGCAAAAGCACGAAAGTTCCAAAATATGTAAGCCATAAATTCTGTATAATGAAAATTTTATTAGCAACAGCTTTTAATTCTGTGTTCATAGCAGTTTCCTTAGGCACTGTGGAGTGGAGTATAGTTATCTCTATTGTGAACTGAATGCGCCTTTCAAGGGTGGGTTTTCGAAGAGGAATTCTTTGTGTTTTGACCAGGGAAAGTAGATTTGTACTATTCATCAGAAGCAGGAGGCAAAAAAACATTGCAGAGTTGTATTGACCACAGAGGATCAGACCAAATAAGAGAGATGAAGTGAATTTTTTAATTCAGGCTAATAGATAAGGGCACTAAAGTTTGACAGTTCTTCAAATATATGAATGCCACCCATAACAGAAACTTCAAAACACTATCTGGAAATTACTAGAACCCAAAGTTGATGCAATTTTTGAATGCAAATGTCAAATCTAACCTCCTCTCTTGCCCAGGCTTGTAACATTCATTTTGAAAATATTTTCCTTGAATTTGTTATAAGCATGATATTTTTTACTGTTATGCAAATGGTGTTTCTGTTCATACCCAAGAAATAAAGCTTGTGATAAGTTTTTCTTCATTACTACTCTTGCTCTTAGCTCTCTTTGCTTTGTTTTTACTGAGTTATGCTTCTCCTCAGTTACCAGAAGCAGTACTAAAATAATAAGTCTTTAAAAATAGATCAGATAGAATAATAAAAGGTTCTCTATCAAAATAACCCACATGAGCAGGAGTGTTCATTAATTAGATGTAAATGTGGACACTAATAAATCAGAGCGGAAAAAGACAGAGAGAGAAAAATTAAATAATCCCACCTGCAATTTGTAATATATTCTATTAAAATGGAAGGAGATGTTCCACAAGCAAGTTTGAATTATTACTGCGCTATATATCTCTTCCTCTCATGTGTGTAACAAAGGAAGAGAGGAAAAAAAAAGAAAATATTGCAGTGATCTTATTGTTCCTTTAAAACAATTTACAAGTGAAATGGGAACATGTTTTCTTCCCAAAAAATAGTCACATAATACTCCATCTTCACATATATTCCTTAAAACTGTTCTTCTTCTGAAAAACTATAGTAGCAGATTGGTAATATTTCCCATGCAGGACAATTCACAGCCCATGGGAACAAGCCTTGAAAAGTGGCTTAGCTTACTAAATTTAAAGTTAACATTTAGCAGGTTCTACAGGACTCATGTTTGGCAAGCAGAGGGTAATAAACAAAGATAAACAAAGTGGTATTATTTTTCATCATCTTTAAAAAAGTAATTCCCTGAAGACTAAAAGGTGCTCTGGGGAAGGAGACCCTGTATTAATTCTTCCCTTTTTGCAGGAGGTGATCCAGTCCATATAAGTTCTGTTTAATTAGCATGGCAGTAGCCCCTGGTTTGACTCTGTTTTTGCAGTTGTTTACAACTTCCTTTGCCAAACTGTCCCTGGAAAAAAAAAAATAAATCCAAAGGGACTGAAAGAAAAGGAAACGGGAATTTTTTTGCTTCTTGTGCACCTACTCACTGGCAGAGCACAGGAAATAGAATACTCCTTTATTTACACTAAGTTCTACTCAGTAACAACTAAAAAAAGTCAATTCAACATTATTCTCATACTAAATCCAAAACACAGCACTGTACCAGCTACTAAGAAGAACATTAACACTATCACAGCTGAAAATGATCTTTTCCAGACAGACTCTTAAGGGTTGTCCACAGGGAAGCAGGTTGTTCAGCTATTATTACTTGAATGGTTTTCAACTCCCCTGATGTCCAGCAAGGCTAAGACAGTGTTATCGGTACTTTGGCTGAACACCCGGTGTCCGTATACACACAGGGAAAACTAACAATAAAGACTACTTCCCCACGAAAGGCATTTTTCTCCTCCAAAAACATCCGTCTATCCCATGCAACCGTCCCAGAACTGAAGAAAGAAGTTGTTTCTTTCTCATCTCTTTATATCTGAGCTGACATAACATGGTATGGAATAGCTTATTGGTAAAATATACATCAGGTGACCCAGAATGGTATTTTGAGCAGCTGGTGAGGAACCCAACAAGTCTCTAACCATCCAGTGGTTGCTTCCACCATGGTGAGCACATACTGCTTACCTTGGCAGGTCTGTGGCAGTGTGATATAGTCAATCTGCCAGGCCTCCCCATATCTATATTTATCCCAAAATCCACCATACCATAGGGGCTTCACTCTTTTTGCTTGTTTAATGGCAGTGCATGTCTCACAATCATGGATGACCTGGGAGATAGTGTCCATGGTTAGATCCACCCCTCAATCTTGCATCCATCTATAGGTGGCATCCCTGCCTTGATGACCTGAAGCATCATGGGCCCATTGAGCTAGGAACAACTCTCCCTTGTGCTGTCAGTCCAAATCTACCTGTGACACCTTGACTTGTGCAGCTCGGTCTGCTTGTTTGTTGTTGTGATGTTCCTCATTAGCTTGATTTTTGGGTGCATGGGCCTCTACATGGCAGACTCTCACAGTCAGCTTCTCAACCCGAGCAGCAATGCCTTGCCACAAATCAGCAGCCAAGATGGGTTTTCCTCTACACTTCTAATTAGTCTTCTTCCATTGATCCAGCCACCCCCATAGAGCATTGGCTACTATTCACGAGTCAGTGTAGAGGTAAAGCCTTGGCCATTTATCTTGTTCAGCAATATCCGGGACCAATTGAACAGCTTTGAATTCTGCAAATTGACTTGATTGACCTCCTTCAGTAGCTTCCGTCACTTGGGACTCCAGACAGCTGCTTTCCACTTCTGGTTCTTCCCTACAATACTGCAAGAACTAGCAGTGAAGAGGGCATAATGTGTTTCTCCTTAGGATGACTGATTGTATGGTGGAGCTTCCTCAGCCCGATCCACTTGTTCTTCCTCCTCCTCTGCCAGACTGAAGTTTCCATCTTCAGGTCAATTTCTTATGATCTCTAGAATTCTGGGGCGATTCGAGTTTCTGATTCAGGCACGCTGTGTAATCAAAGCAATCCACTTACTCCATGTAGCATCAGTAGCATGATGTGTAGAGGGCACTTTTCCCTTGAACATCCAGCTCAGCACCAGTAGTTGGGGTGCCAGGAGAAGCTGTGCTTCTGTGCCAATCATCTCTGAGGCTGCTTGTATTCCTTCATAAGCCGCTAGGATTTCCTTCTCC